AAGTTTTGCTTCCATTCACAAACTCCACATCAAGTGACAAATACAACTGCAGCCACCTTCCCCACACAAACACAACCACAGCATCTTCTCCAAAATCATAAAACTAAGCCGGGCATGGTGGCACACTCATGTAATCCCAGTACTTGGGAAGCTGAGGCAGGAGGATCCTTGTGAGTTTGAGACCAGCCTGGGCTACAAAGTGAGGTCAAAGCCAGTATGAACTTGATAGTGAAACCCTGTCTCAAAAAGACCAAAAAAAAAAAAAAATTGTAAAACTAAGGTTGTGAACTGAGGTACCACTGCACTGTATATTAATAGTCTCAAAGGGCCAGTGTGGAAATAGCCATTGTATCAAAATTCCTCCGCTTCCTCGTTGGCAGTCAGTCCCTCCTAATCCCCTAGGGTTTGGCTTAATTCCACAGAACTCTCTGGAACTTTCTCTCAAACAGCTCATAAACATTCTTCCCCTTATAAATCCCAGAGCAAAAACCTCATCTCTTTTCCCCGGATATGTCAACTGTTCCTTCTTCTTCAAATTTTCTGCCTTAGAGTATCATTTCCTGACTTTCTTCCTATTTCTCTGCTTTTATTCTTTCTTCCACAAGATGTGCGTATTGCGGCCTAATATGTAAGAATAACCTATTCTTTCTCCTTCCTCTGGGAAACTCATCCACCATATTTTATAGTAAAAAAAAAAATTTTTTTTTTTTTGTCTTCTTGAGACAGGGTCTCTCTATGTAGTCCAGGTCGGCCTGGAGCTCACTTTGTAGCCCAGGCTGGTCTCAAACTCACAACGATCCTCCTGCCTCAGCCTCCTGAGTGCTGGGATTACAGGTGTGCGTCACCACACCTGGCGCTTATAGTCAAATTTTAGAGCAGACAGAGACTTTAGCCTAAGATAGTCATCTTCGTTTTGCAAATGACTTAGGTTTTAACCTCAACACGGATGATTACCAAGCATTCATTCATTCACGCATCCACTCTTTCAACACATATCTTTAAGAGCTTCTAAATAAAAAGGATTGATGTCATGAAAACATCAGGGCCAACGAGCTGATAAAGGCAATGAGACCTGTACAGAAAGAAGGAAGGTTCAAGGCTGGCTGAAAAGTCCGCGGAAGTAAGAATAAACGCAGACACAGACCTCTGCGGCCCCAGGGAGACGCGCGGAAGGAGGGCATGGGATGGGTAGAGCAAGGAGGGCTTCAGCGGGGTCCGGGCTGCACCTCTTGCCAGGTTTCACAGGGGAAAGGACAGGCTCGGACAGCGACGGCGAACCTCTTAGAGACCCAGCGCCCAGACCGTGACCTCAAATCCACTCGTTTATGGCAACGCGTCACCACTGTAATTTACCTGACTGCTGAGGTTTTAGTTCAGAAGAAAAACAACTGTCACCCGAAGCTCCGCTGTCATGGCGACCTGGCTTGTGTGCCCAGTATGGCACGTGTGCTGTCGGGTCGTCACCACTGTTCTAGGGGACATGGCGCGTCTGAACAAAGGCCCAGGGAAGGGAAGGGAAGGGCACGGACCCAGCTGTGGGTTCACGCTCCCAGAGGAGAGAGGGATGAAGCGGAGGGGTTGGCAGATGGGCAGAGGCAGAGGCCCCAAAGTCAGGCTGGCGCTTCCTCAGGAGGCAGCAGCGTGAGCCAGGACTAGAGTGTGCTGCAGAGAGAGAGTTAGAGGGACAGACGGGCACTGGAGGGACCATCGCGAGACTGTTAGCATCAGTTATTTTCTTCTGAATCCAGAGCGAGAGAGGGAAGGAGGTGGCCAGGCATGGTGGCGCCCACCTGTAATCCCAGCACTCCGGGAGGCTGAGGCAGGAGAATCTAAAGTTTGAGCCCATCCTGGGTGACCTAGCAACTTAGCAAACCCTGTCTGAAAATTTAAAAACAAACAAACAAACAAAAACATCAAAAGGGCTGGGGATGTAGTTCAGGGTGAAGGCTCTGGGTTGAATCCCCAAGAGATTATGAGAACAAAACATGAAACAGACAGAGAAGAGAGAGAGACAGAGACAGACAGAGACAGAGAGGAGAGAGAGAGAGAAGGACAAACCAACAGGACGGATGTAAGCTTAGGTTTGACCAGATGCTCACGCTCCGCTGAAAACAGCTGCCCATGGAGCCGCCTTGAGTGGGCTCATGGGGAGGTTTGTACCCCGTCTGGCTCCAACTAGAGCAAAGAAAAGACTCCTTCCTTCCTGGGGACAGAGCCAGGAGGTATGAGGCGCAAGGGCTGCCTCCACCCTGTGAAGAAAGGCAGTTCAAGCTAGGCATAGCTGTGCACACCTGTAACAGCAGCACGTTAGGAGGCCGCGGCAAGAGAATCACAAGTTCAAGGCCAGGCTGGACAATTTAGCAACTTAACACCACCCTGATTCGTAAAATAAAATAAAATTAAATTAAATTAAAATAACGGTCTGGGGATATAGCTCAGTGCAAAAGCCCAGGGTTCAGACTTCAGTACACAAGCACAGAGAAAGACACAGGCACACACATATGCAAAGAGAGGCAACTCAAAAGAAGCTGACAAGGAGAGAGAAGCACAAAGCCTGGCGTGGTGGAGCATACTCCATACTCTATGGAGCATACTCGTTACTTTTCTGATCCCGGCACGGGGCAGGCGGCTGAGAGAGAATTTTGAGTTTAAGGGCTGCCTCAGCTACATTGTAAGACCTTGTTTTTTGTCTTTTTGAGACAGGGTCTCGCTATGGGGTGCAGGCTGGCCTTGAACTCATTTTGTAGCCCAGGCTGGCCCTGAACCTACAGTGATCCTCCTGCCTCAGCCTCCCATTTCCTAGGATTGTAGGCATGCACCACTACATTTGACTCAAAACCCTGTTTTGTTTTGAAAGTGTATTCGAAGAATAAGTGAGCTGGACATGGTGGTGCAGGTCCGTAATCCCAGCAATTGGGAGGCTGAGGCAGGAGGATTGCTGTGAGTTCAAGGCCAGCCTAGCCTATACAAGTGAGATTCTGTCTCAAAAAACAGCAAAAAACAAGTGATGAGATGCTCTGTGCTTATGTGAGCCAGGGGGGAAGGGTAGATAAAGATAGGTATGTTGAGGCAGAGAGGTGCAAAGTGGGGGGAAACCACAGGTCCGGTTGCCATTCTTGGCTTTGAGCTCTTGCCCAACACCTGCCTGACCCATGTGCAGGCCGGTGGCCTGGACAAGCTGCCACCCGGCTCGCGGAAGAGCCACTCCCAACCAAGTTGTCCCGCTCGCCCCCAGCCTGATGTGCTGGTACAGTGCTCACAGTTCACACTCAGGGCTTTCTTGTCCCTCTTAGGGCTTCAGGCTTTGGCTTCTGTATAATTTTCTGCATCACCTGCCCTTCCCAGTTAGGTGTGCAGGGCTGGGTGAACTCAACCTTCTCAGACAATAAGGGATAGTTCTGACTAGAACAGAGGCTAGGGCTGGGAGTGTAGCTCAGTAGTAGAGCACTTACCTGATCTTGGGTTCAATCTCCAGCACTGCAGGGGGAAAAGATACTCTTCTGGAGGCTGCATGTTATAGTGATCAAAGACATAATTTTGAAATCAGGAATGAGTTCAAATTCCAACTCTAACAGATTTATCAGTTGGGTAAATGTAAACAAAGTCATAGTTGAGCCTTAGTTCTCTGACTGCTCTGAGAATTATAGCTAAAAAATGACAGAACGTTACTTTTCAGAATGTTCCTGAGAATTCAAGAGAAAGTGTGTACAGTGTAGCTGGATGTGGTGGCACACGCCTGTAATCCCAGCACTGGGGAGGCTGAGGCAGGAGGATCGTCTCGAGTTCGAGGCCAGCCTGGGCTACAAAGTGAGCTCAAGGCCAGCCTGAACTGCATAGCGAGATCCTGTCTCAAAAAAAAAGACAAACAAAAAGACACTGTGTGTAATGTCTTCCATGGGATGGGCACTCGGTAACTACCAGTTCTCAATGAGGAGATGACGCTACTGTAGCATGGCCTGTGGAGGAGCTTGGATTTGACCAGACTCTCCCGCTCCTGCTGAAAGCCCGTCTTAGAAAACCCACTTTTAGCAAGAACCGCAACGCCGCGTGCAAACGGCCCCACCCACAGCACCCTCCCTTGTTGTCCAAGCTCCTGCCTTAGTCAGCTTTTTTCAGTTCCCGAAAAGGCCACGCACCTCCCAGCAGCCTCCCCTCCAGGGTCTGCCACATCTAGAACAAGCGAGGTCTGTATCCTTCGATCCCGACGTACCTGCGTCAGGAACGTGTGCGCACGCGCGAGCCAGTTGCGTAGCATACGTAAGGGAATGAAAAACGTGTTAAGTACCTTTCTGCTGCGTAATCGAAGATTGTTGCCTTGTTCTTGATTTTGAAATATGGAAATTGTTCCTTTAAACATGTGGGTTGTTTCTTAACACCCACATCTCTTATTTCCTTTCCTGAGAGCCCCGACTGCCGTCCGGACGTCCCTGTTGCCTGTACGTGATTAACACCACTTCCCAGCTCCTGGAAGTGTCCACAATAAATCACCCAGTCAGTATTTTCTATCTGCCTCCCAGTAGGATGGGTTCAGGAGTGAACAAGATGATGACATTTAAATTAGAGTGCACGCTCAGATGTATTTGTCAAGTCGAACTACAATAACCCTTTTACAATTTTAAGTTTCTAAATATATATATAGACTAGTTGGACCTCTTTACAGGTCAGTTAACAAAGATTTCTTTTTTTTTGTCTTCTGAGACAGGATCTGGCTATGCAGTTCAGGCTGGCCTTGAACTCATTTTGTAGTACGGGCTGGTCTTGAACTTGCAAGGATCCTCCTGCCTCAGCCACCCGAGTCCTGGGACTATGGGGGCGTGCCACCACGCCCGGCCAAAGAGCTCTTGTAAATAAGAATCAGAAGGGGAAAAAAAACCCTCTTACACCTGTGAAATCAAAGATAGTTTTTAAGACAGGCCCTAGGCTGATGATTTATTTTCTTGAAATAGCCGCCTGTACAGGGTTCTCATTGCAGCTTTTTATTTATTTATTTCTTTATTTAGGTGCCGGGAATCAGACTCAGGACCTTACACCTACCAGGCAGGCGCTTGTGCCGCTGAGCTGTATCCCCGGCCCTCATTGTGGCTTTTATAGCCACAGCTGAAGCCAAAACTGCTGCTTTGATAGCACATGTTCCCTCCTCTAAAGGGACAGGCTGATAAAGGTAATCTTTCCTATTTCTGGAGACGTGCGTGCTCAGGCCAGCTTTGGGTGTAGGAAGAAACTAGGTGACACTCCTTGGAGTGTGTACTTTAAAAGACAAAGAAACAAAGACAAGAAGGTGCTCCGGCCTATCCCTCTTCTCTGTCCCCAGTCTAAGGTGTCCTCTGGACTTAACCCTGTCCAGCGCCATGGTGGCGAACTGGGGGTGTGAGGAAGTGGCCAGAGCTGGGTTAGCCGCTGCTGCCATGCGCCCCACCCGCACCCCCGTCCTTCCGGTCCTGTGACCCTTGGGTTCCCCCCGTCAGAACCTCAGTTAGCTCGTCTCTGAGAATAGTGTCTGGCCTGGCAAGATGCTCTGGAGAGAAATCATGGTGGGAGAGAGACAGTCCTCTAGGGGGTATGGCTGTCCTTTAGTACCTGGTTCTGTTTGAAACTGTTACTGAACTCATAAGGGTTCCTGGGAATTTTCGTTGTTGTTGTTCTAGCAATGAATTTATTTGTGCTATAAAAACCAATCTTTCTGCTCCGCAGTGCACCATTCTCCGAGGGAGGGGAAGTGAAAGGAGTTCATTTCCAGTTATGCATAAGGGCAAAAGGCTGATACATTTGTGTTTTTGTTTGTCTTTTTGAGACAGGGTCTCGCTATGCAGTTCAGGCTGGCCCTGAGCTCACTTTGTAGACCAGGCTGATCTTGAACTTGCAACGATCCTCTTGCCTCAGCCTCCAGAGTGCTGGGATTATAGGCACACGCCACCACGCCGGGTCAAGGCTGATACATTTGGACTAAAACTTTTACATTTATTTTTGAGAGTCCGAGGATTAAATCTAGGCCAGTTTTTTTTTTAATTTATTTATTTTATTTATGTATTTATTTATGAGAATATGGCTGAGAGATAAGTGAAGGTCAGCTGTGCTCTGGAAGAGTCCCAGGGAAGGGAAACTCACCGTTCCGGTCCTGGGTCCAGCATTCACCGAGAAGAGGATCTCCTTGGACAAAACGCTGCTGTGAATTGCGTTATTTCTCCGGGCAGGGCAGTGGAGAAGGGGCAGAACTAAATCTTCATTATCTCCAGGGCAGAAAGACAATCAAGACCAAGAGCTTTTCCCAGGCTGGGTCTCCAGTCGCTCTGCTTTTTTTCTCTGGTCTCAGATTGTTACATTTGTAAACCTGACTGGCTGCCAACAGGCTTTCAAGTAACCTTGAGTCAGGACTCTTACCCCAACACCAGCAGAGAGCCGACAGAAAAGCAAGTTAATCCTGGCAGTGAAGTTTAAGAATTTACAATGTACAAGAGATGTTTCAGGGATATTAATTAAACAAAAATACCCGTTTACCAATTAGCTCAGATTTGTGACAGTGGGCTCCGATTGTGCCTCTGGGTTGGTGCTCAGGCCACAGCAGAAACACCCTCCGGTAGCCTCCCTGTTTTTATTGGGGTGCCTCCAGTTGTGTCCTTTTGACTTCTTTTCCTGAGCCGAGGACAAGGACAGGCTTTCTTTCCCTGTGTGGCTGTGGTCACTGCACCAGGGGCTGGCCCTCCTTGGCCAATGCCGGCTCTGGTTCAGGGGAGCCGTCGATCTGGGGCTTGGGGTTACAGGCTGAGGGTAGGGATTCCAGAGGATCTCACATGAAGGAGGGAACTGGAGGGGAATCCTCTTTTTTTTTTTGTCTTTTTGGGACAGGGTCTGGCTATACAATTCGGGCTGGCCTTGAGCTCACTCTGTAGCCCAGGCTGGTCTCGAACTCGCCACGATCCTCCTGCCTCAGCCTCCCAAGTGCTAGGATTACAGGCCTGCCCCAACACTCCTGATTTGAATCCTCTCTTTTCTTATTAAATCTCTGAGTCTTTAGGGGGAAGAGAACAATTGGTCCTCCCTGCCAGCACAGGGTGTAATCCACCTCCTCCTGAGACCCCAGTCTTTATTATTCAAATCAGTCAACGACTGATATAACCAGTCCTCCTTCCATCCAAACTTCGGCCAGAAGATGGATGGGGCAAGGATGAGAGTTTGTGGCCGAATGGAACGATATTTTATCGTCTGAGCTTTCTGTTTGTTTTTGGTCTGTGGGTTCGCACCATAAATCCTTAACATCAGGCTGAGGGGACTCTCAGGGTGTTCTGTTCCGAGTCCCTTGATTTCCTCATCTGTCTTGACTGGGAGACGTACTCATGCATTCATTCACGCATTCATTCCTTTATTACTGTTTGCCCCAGAGCCCGAGGCTCAGCCTCTGGCGTGCCAGCAGGTACTTTGGATTTCGCCAGAAATCACCAGTCTCACCCGAGACTGTCCCGATCTCATGTGAAATCATCCGGATCTCCCCTGAGGTCATACTGGGACAGGGACAGAATAACCAACCACCAAAAGCAGTACCAAGTCTAACTGGGACGTGGCCAAGATCCCAACTGCCTGGGAAGCAGGCAAAAGGATAAAATAAGAAGCAGAGATACACTTAGTAACGCCTGAGAGGGGGCTGGGCCAGTGACTGGCAGAGACAATGGCGCTCCGAGCCAGCCACTGTTTTCTGGGTGTACACAATAAGTGAGGATTGGACGACTGAGGGGGCGGCGGTGATCTTATGTGGATGCAATCTTGCCCTAGAGTGTCACGGCCTCGCAGGACCAGCAAGGCCTTCTTCCAGGCCTCTGGGCCTTAGCCTCAGTGTATAACTTGTGGTCCCCAACATCTCTGCGCTTTTGTTTCTGTAATTGCAGCAGTAGAAGCAGCATGCAGGCTATGGTGTCCATCACAGCAACCAATACCTTCCCGGGAGTTTGTGGGAGGCCCTGTCGTGTCACCAGCACGCGAGCCTCTTGTGCTGTCATCTGTAGTGTCCCCATGTCATGGGTTTTGTAGCCTGCATAGATCTCAGTACTTGTGTCGGGCTCTCCAGGGTCATCTTGAAGAATGCTCGCACTGCGGCTGGGGATTTAGCTCAGTGGCACGGTGCCTGCCCGCAGGTACAAGGTCGGCCAGACGGGAACAGGCTCCCTGCCACGGGCCCGGATGTTCTTATCACGGCGTTCCGTTGTCTGTTAACACCAGCACACCCTGGACACGTGCTAGTGACTGCACTGGGCATCCCTCTTTCCTGTTTGGATGTCCTTCTGTAGGACTTGAGCCCTAGGCGTGCTCGTCTGATTTGTCCTTTTACCAGTGAAGTTGGAGGGCATTTATTTTCTGCAACTGGGTTTTTCAAAATGAAGACAAAGATAGCAAGATCAGGCCGGGGATATAGCTCAGTGGTGCAGCACTTGCCGGGCAGGCACAAGGTCCTGAGTTTGATTCCTGGTGCCCACCCACCCCAAAAAGGATAGCAAGCTCTAATTATGCTTGTGGAGGTAACCATATTCTCCCTTTTTGTTTTTGTAATTGTGCTTTAAAGCAATTTTTTTTTTAGAAATTGGAGCACGTATAATCAAAGCATGAGCACTAGAATGGAAAGGCAGGTTGGGAAAAGAGCCAAATCTAGAAACTGTTCCTAAGGGACCAGAACAGCAATTGTAACCCACTGACTCTTAGACCCCTCTTAGACTCTTGATGGAGTCTGATATTTTGTCACAAGTCTTCCTAGTTTTAGCTAAAGAATGTAAAGATTTTTAGCTGGGTGTGGTGGTGTTTGCCTGAATCCTAGCATTCAGGAGGCTGAGGCAGGAGGATAACCCCGAGTTTGAGGTTAGCCTGGGCTACATAGTGAGTTCAAGGCCAGCCTGAACTACAGAGTGAGACCCTGTTTCAAAAAAATTTTTTTAAAGATTTTTGTTGAGATGTTATGTCTTTTTTTTTTAGACCCATAACAATAGTTGGCTACCAGTGCAGCTGGAAACTATCAGAAGGGGTCAGTGATCAGAACCCCTTTTTATATCTAGCTTATTATTATGGCATTGTTTTATATGTCTTTTGGTTATAATTTTCTGCTGGGTGTTCAAAACCAAGTTAAAGTGCGACCTCTGTCAATCAAAGTTAACCTCTTGCTGTCTATCAGGGTCAGTTAAATCTCCTCAGGCATTTCTTTAGAAACATGTACAGAGCCTCTTAGCTCCTCTGCCAGTGTCAGCCATCAGAATGGGTCACGGCCTTGACGGACCATGCTGCTTTCTGTGAGAGCGTGGGAGGCTTCTCCCTCTCGGTGGCCTCTTTGACACGCTGTGCACTTGTTGATTCCTGTCCTCTGGGGTCAAGCAGTCTCCCTGTTCAGGAGCTTTGGTGACTCAACAAAGTTGTAGGATCTTGTAGAAAAGCTTCCCTCATGTCGTGTCCTCACTGACCTTGGACAGCCAGGGTCTAAATATTAGCTGTCCTCTCGGCCCAGTTATCTTCTAGCTCTGGTCTCTAAACTTGAGTTGTTGAACACCCAGAAGAAGAGCAGTGACATCAGCACTGTCGTAGGAGCAGTGAGCTTCACTGTTATAATTTTATCTGAATATCAAGTCCTTCCAAATATAAAGTATAGCCAGAGGACTATTATTTTTTTCTTACCAGTTATGGTTGTTTTGTTTTGTTTTTTCTTCTGGTACCAGGAATTGAACTCACGACCTTGCGCTTACGAGGCAGGTGCTGTGCCGCTGAGCTAAATCCCCCAGCCCCAGTTATGGTTGTTTTAGTAGTTGAATCTCTGCAGAATGTTAACAGACAACAGTCATGTAAGTTTTATAGAGAAAATGAGATCAAGAGCCACATGTAAGGGCTGGGGCTATAGCTCAGAGGCACAAGCGCCTGCCTGGCTAGCTCAGGGTCCTGAGTTTGATTCCCAGTACCAACAACAACAAGAAAAGAAACTAATTTAAATATATATTTTAAAAATAAAATAAAAAATTAAAAAAACACAAACCAGGGGCTGGGGATATAACTCAGTGGCACAAGTGCCTGCCTGGCAAGCACAAGGTCCTAAGTTCAACTCCAGGTACCAAACAAAACAAAACAAAACAAAACAAACACAAAAAGCCACATGTAGTCTGTCCACATAACAATTATGATAACATTATTTTTGTAATACCACCTTGCAAAATACTTAATATCCACCTTAAATATCCACCTTAATATAGAACAGAGTGACACATATAACATATACATCAAAAAAAATTTTTTAAACCATCATTTGACTGGTGACCTCATGTTGGCTTGAAATGTACTTCCCATCATAGAAGCTGGAGCACAGGAGAGAAGCAGATATCTGAGTGTGAAAGGAAAAGGTTATCACCGTAAACAATCCATTTTACATCTTAGCAGGCCTTTATACCCGGAAGGCATGAATACATTTAATACACTATGAGATTACCAATAATGAATGTCATAGCTACATAGAAATCTTTGTCTCTTAATTTAGTTTTGTACCAAGAGCATCCTTTAATGAAACCTTATGGTTTTACCCACAGAAAACTTAACCTTTTGATGATAATCAATGTAAATATATTACAATAATATGTTTAGCCATGTTTCTTGGGGTGTACCTCACATAAGGGCATGGAAATTATTGGGCCCTCCTTAATGAAAATAGGCTGGAATAAGATGTATACAGGCCGCTGTTCCTCTATTCAGCAAGGGGAGTCCTATTCAACAGTTTTCCTAAGCCTAAGCGGCCCCCATTTAGCTTAATGAATTTTGATGATGTATTAGAACCAGATTATAACAATTAACACATTATTTTTAACCAATGAAAGATTCTCAAATTACTGTACACATACAACAGTATGTATTACATTTTATTTATTTATTTATTTATTTATTTATTTATTTTTTGGTTTTTCTCCGGTACTGGGAACCGAACTCACGACCTTGCGCTTGCCAGGCAGGCGCTTTTGCCGCTGAGCTAAATCCCCAGCCCCTGTATTACATTTTAAAACTAATCTTGACATCATTTTTATCCACTGGAAATCTGGGTGGAAGCATGTCCTTATTTCTTTTTTTTTTTGGTACTGGACCTTGCACTTCCAAACCGGCTTAAATTATAGACAAATGTTTTAAAAATCTAAAAAAGCAAAAAGAAGAAAAAAATTACTGAATTCAAACAAAACAGCTGTAGGTATGGTAACTAGTTACAAACTAAACAGACAGACAAACATACACACAACAATTTATTTATAAAACCAGAGGGCACTCAGATGTATTTAGCCCAGCTGAATTATCAATATTTTTTTACAGTTTTTATGTTTGTAACTATAAATAGACTACAGAAAACTTTTTTTAGGTCAATTAACAGAGATCTCTTATAATAAGGAATAAAACCTTTTACTCATAATCAATATTTTTTAAAATTTTATTTTGTGTTAAGAATTTTGGCAGCCTGCCGTGTTGGTGCACACCTGTATTCCCAGCACTCGGGAGGCTGAGGCAGGAAGATCATTATGAGTTTGAGGCCAGCCTGGGCTGCAAAGTGAGCTCAAGGCCAGCCTCAAAAAGAAAAAAAAAAAAAAAAAAAAAAAAGAATTTTGGCAACTCCGTGCCCTCTTTTCGCATTTAGCCTCTGGCTCAGTCACCTCTATTCCTTCTGTCACCTACTCAGGCCTTCTTTGTGTTCTCACAGCCTTCGTGGGACCCCTCTCTATGAGACTTAGTATAGCTTGGGTCAACAATGAATTCTTATAAAATTTGGTTTTTACGTCTTGACAAGCTTTTAGATAATTTTTAAGGTTTTTTGTGGCCTTGGCCACTTTGAGGGCCTGTTTGTAGTCTTTATTTATATTTTTTAAAGCCACCTGACGCACAGTAACTTCGGCTGCTTGTGAACGAGAGCTCTGTCTGTGGACTGCCTCCTGCACCGCTGGGACCACAGGTGCACGCCACCATCCCCAGCACGGCCAGGGAAAGCAGAGGTGGGAAGCCAGCTCTCTGTTACACGGCTCCACCACTGGCCTGCCGGTGTTGCTGGTCTTAGACAGTGGGAGTGGCGGCTGGGCCTTTTGGGAGGTCGTGGCCAGGGGCAGGTGGGGGCGCAGGAAAGGCACAACCTCCTGGCGCCCTGAGCTGGGCTATGCAGCTGGGGTGCAGCCTGTGCCTCCCACCTTGACTGACATGATGCTTTCACAGGGCAGGCATTCGGGCTTCTTGCAACCTTCCCAGTATCTCAAACTCAGAACCTGGGCATCGCTAGCACATACACCACACTCTACCATTTCCGGAGATGCAGGCCATGGAGTGTCTCCATCAATCTCATCTAACTCTGGGCCTCCCCCAGGAGCTGGTGGTGCAGTGGGTGGTTTTTTTCTTTTCTTTACACTTTTCTCCCTTGTCCTGCTCTAAAACAGGGGTACTAGTACCTAGCAGACCTAAAACATTTTACCAGGCCCCAAGTTGAAAAGTTCTCAGGAGAAACAGTTTCTCCTCTGCCATGAGCTCTCCTTAAATTTTCTCCCACCTTATCCCAATTTTGAATATCCAAGGTTCCCACCTGCAGAAACTGTGGATTTTTTTCCTGTTCTTTTTTTGTTTGTTTGTTTTCCTCCAGTACTGGGAATTGAACTCACGACCTTGAGCTTGCCAGGCAGGTGCTGTGCCACTGAGCTAAATCCCCAGCCCCAGAAACCATGGATTATATTGAACAATTTCTTGTAACATTTTTGTCAACTTGTGGCTGCTAACTCCAGCTCTGGCCTGCTACAACCACATCCACAGCAACTGTACCTATCTTTGTTCCTTTACTGACAAATTCTGCCCCATTATCCCAGCTAAGTGAAAACTTTCCATGGCACCAAGTACCTTTTTACTTTCCTTTGGACCTCTCTGAATTTGTCCCCCAGAGTCCTCTCGCAGTCTCACGTTCTCTCTCTCTCCCACTTGGGTGGGTCTTTCCTCTCATGCCTCAGTTTAGGTGGTCCCTGTTTGGGCACCAAATCTCCTGAAATGAGGCCAACCTGAACCACAGAGGGAGACCCTCTCTTAAAAAAACAAACAAGCAAACAAAAAAAGGATTTAGGTGTGAGAACCCTGAAGAAAAACAGGCCTAGGAAAGAACAGGAATTGTGACTTTGCTTAAACTTAATTAAGTCTTAAAGGTAGTTTTCTCCAAGCGACAACTTCCTCAAAATTACCCAATTTCCCTGTCTCCTTTCTTCCTATCTTTATTTCTTCTATCCTACCTCAGAACTGGAAGTAGGATACTTTGCAAATCCATTTCCCCATTAAAGAGCATTTGAGTGCTGCCAGTTTGGGCAGGATTATGAATAATGTTGCTATAGACGTTTACGTATGGGATTTTGTGTGAATTTCCCTTGGGTACTCAAAGAATGCTGAGTCACATGGTGAGTGCATGTTTAACTTTGTAAGAAACAATCCACTTCCAGGAAGATGGAGGCCTCTCTGAGATTTGGTGTCCAGACGCTGGAATACAGCAATGTGAGGAAGAGAAGGAACGAAGTGGGTGCCTAGGAACCAGCAGGGATCTGAATCGAGAATTAAAGCCCACAGGGAAAACAAAGGGAGAAACGTCAGTGAAGGAGGAGGAGGAGGAGGCAAGCAGCACATTCTCCCTGAGCCCTGACTGACTTCTTGGGAGGGGCAGCTCAAACCTGCAGATGCACAGTGGCTGACCCCAGAAGCCTCCGTGGAGACACACACCAATGGAAGGGAGCCGTGGGTGCAGCGGACTACAGTGGCTGGTGAGTTATTCAGGTTCAGACGTCCCCAAGGTGAGGGTGATTGGCCAGTAACCATCTTGGACAGGGGCCAGCTCAGAGTGGCTGTGGGATGGCCACAATTAGCAGCTCCCAGTGTTAGGGTGAGGCAGAGCTGAGTTCAAGGAGGTGAGTTCAAGCCAGCAGGGAGCCAAGTTCAAGCCAGCAGGAGGCACACAGAGTGTTGCAGGCTGAAAATCGGGTTCTAGCCTCACAGAAACCAGCATGAACTTCAGTGAAACTAAAGGTGGAGCCTTGCTGGGATTACCCCGTACCCTGCTGTAAATCTGTGGCTGGCTTGCATGGATCTGGACTCTGTCTGCCCACTTTGTCTACCAGTGATGGCAGAGAAACGCCCTGAGGTAGACATTTTTTCTCATTTTCTTTCATGTTTTTTAAAAATTTCTTGATTATTTGTTCTTGTTTTTATATGAGTGTAAACATTGTTTCCAGTTTGTTGTTGTTGTTATTCTGTTCTTGTTTTTGTTTTTTTCTTCTCTCCCTATCTTCTTCACCAGCTTCCCAAAGTTTGCATAATCTTCCTTTGTCCTTCAGCCTTGCTTCTAATCTCTTCCTCTTCTTCTATTTCTCTATTTTTTTTCCCCTCTAACGCCTTCTACATTTTTTCCCCTGAAGGTAAAATCCCCGGACTGAGGCCATATTTACTGTATACAATTTTCTGGTCTGTTTTACATTTTCTTATATAATCACAGATCTGGTTCATATGGTCAAACCTGGCAAAGTAAAAGTTACTATAGTTTGTCATTTTCTTTTCTTTTTGTTTTTGTTTTTGTTTTTGTTTTTGTTTTTTCTCTGGAACCGGGAACCGAACTCATGACCTTGCGCTTGCCAGGCAGGCGCTTTTGCCACTGAGCTAAATCCCCAGCCCCCCAGTTTGTCATTTTCTAAGCTGTGTTTGATGCTACTGTTATTGCTGATTGTGTAACTTTGCCCAAAGCGACATAATTGTTCTAACCAGTTGTTCTTCCTGGTATGCCAAACCTGAGATTGCCTAAGGATCATAAAAAATTCTATAGGCTAATGCCAAAGAATCAGGGGCTCAGTCAAACAGGCAGCAACTTCTCATCCCCAATAAATTGAAGATGTAGGATCTTGCAACAGACTCAAAATCTAAAAGCCAGCTACACCTGGAAGACATCTCTGAGAAGCAGTCAGTTCTTCAGGGCTCTAAGTATTAGCAATACAGCTACTTGTCATAAGCAATTTATAAGCATCAACCTAGGAAATAAACTTAAAAAAATATACAATGAGAAGACATTTAAGCAAGATGTAACCCCGGACTTCCAGCTCACCAAAGGCAAACCTAGAGGGGGCAATGAAGTGAAACAACTTGAAAGCCACCCACCTGGACTCTCTGAAGTGGTAACAGTAGAAGTATCAAAGCGGATGAATGAGGCTCTAGAGAAAAATCAAAAAGTAAATAATTTCTCAGATAATTACAGAGATGGTGATCATAATGAAAGACATGGTTAGTTACTCTATAGCAGATACAGACAAAAAATAGAGGAGCTTAGGAAAATGACAGAAACCATGCCCAATATAGGAAAGAAATGGACTCCATAAAACAGATTCAAACAGATATTCAGGAGATTAAAAATTCCATTGAAATTCCATGTGCAGCAGAATGAGCCAGGGGGAGGACAGAGTATCAGATATAGAAGACAGGAGTGCAGTTATTGATCACGAAAAGAAAAATTTCTTACAAATAATAAGGGATTATGAAAAATCAATCCAACAGCTGCTAGATGATGCAAAGAACAATAACATAACATTGATTGGAGTCAATAAAAAGGCAGGAGATAGTGACATAAAAGACCTATTCACAGAAGTAATGGCAGGAAACTTCTCAAGCAGGGAAAAAGAATTTGACACACAGATAAGTGAGACATATAGAACTCCAATTAGCCATGATCACAAAAAATCTACACCAAGATATGTAATAAGAGTCAAGATTCCAGAAATTCAACAACAAAAAACCAGAATACTAAAAGCTGTTAAAGAAACAAATCACCTATCAAGGAAAGCCCATCAGAATCACAGCAGACTTCACAACACAAACTGTCAAGTTAAGGAGAGCTTGGAGTGAAGAATTTCAAGCCCTAAAGGAAAACAATCTCCAACTCAGACTGATACACCCCACAAAACTATCTTTCAAAATTAATGGAGAAATAAGATACTTCCATGACAAAGAATGCCTGAAGAAATTAATGAACACCAAATCACCACTCCAAAATGTTCTGAAGAACACTGTAGAAAGAAATAACAAGGACTATAACTCCATGAACCCCAACAAAATGAATCTATCAGGGAAGGCAAAGCAACTCAACAGAGGGGGATAAAAAGGGAGCCAACAACAGGAAAATAACATGACATAGATAAGTCAATACATATCAGTTATAACCATCAATGTTAATTGTCTGAATTTGCCAATCAAAAGAAATAGACAGCCCGAATGTGTCAAGAAGAAAGATCTAACAATATGCTACACACAAGAAACACATTTAATTCAAAAAGAAATTCATAGAGTGAAAGTCAAAATCAGGCGTGGTGATGCACTCCTGTAATCCCAGCACTTGGGAGGCTGAGGCAGGAGGGTCTTTGTGAGTTCAACACCAGCCTGGGCTACATAGTGAGCTCAAGGGCAGCTCACTAGTGAGCTCTAACTGCAGAGCAAGACCCTGCCTCAAAAAGACAAAAAA